TGTGTCATAACACAGGTGGCAGCATGCTGTCAGCACACAAGTGATGACATGTGTCATAACACAGGTGGCAGCATGCTGTCAGCACACAAGTGACGACATGTGTCTTAACACAGGTGGCAGCATGCTGTCAGCCCACGAGTGATGTCACGTGTCATAACACAGGTGGCAGCATGCTGTCAGCACACAAGTGATGACATGTGTCACAATACAACATGTGTCAGGACGTAAACATGTACGAGAATACAAGCAACATTGGAAACAGACTGTGTGTTTTAGCATTATATTATTACACTAAATGTAATAGGGTGATTATATCATTAAATAAGATTTTAAGAGGTTGACTGCCTCCGTTTTCCTGAAGAAGAAGACTCTTTTGAAGATGAAGATGAAGTAGACCTCGTTCTGCCTGTTTTAGGCGGACTTTTCCGAACTTTCAGTGTGCTTGGTAAAGAATTAGTTTTGGCAAACCCGGTAGAATTCATGGTTGTTTTCGTAGCAGAAGTGGCTGTAAATAAAGGCCCGCTTCCACTTCCAGATCTGCGTCGGGCTAATTTACTTGAAACTGTTCTCTTTGATTTACTTTTCCGAGTCACCTTGACAGACATGTCTCTTGGAGATGAGATTTCCTCCTCAGAGAATGATGAAGTATTTCTTCCGTGGGAACTCATTTCAGAATGTCTAGTTTTCAGTTTTGGGCTTGAGATAAACTTCATACTGTCTCCGATGTGTAAGTTATTAACTCCTAGTGTAATTTGCTCCTTTGACAATTCATGCTTCTCAGATGATTGCGTTTCAGTTGATCGATCAGTTCTCTTATCTCCTCCACATTGCTTTATATTCTCCTTCTCCTCATCTTTCTCTGCATCAGCAGCAACTTTCACGTTTTTTTGTTTATTATCGCTACTCTTCTCATGATGAGGATGTAAGAATACTACAATGACACTGATGTTATCACTGGAACCTCCTTCTTTCGCCATGGTAACCAGTTTACATGCTACCGTAGTCAGATCACTGCCAGTATTGATATATGTCTGAATTGTGGAGCATACTTTTTGCGGTGACATAGTATCCCATAAGCCATCACACGCCAGTATTACACATTCTTCGTCACCTTGTAGTTGGACAGATGTCGTGTCAGCATCTCCACATACATAAGGTTTGTGATCAGCATCACCTGTAATAGAATAAAGGGACATTTACTGATCACTGCAAATTCTCATCAGTAATGTGTATAGCACATTATGAAAATCGGCTAAATGATTGATGAACAACTGTCAGTTAAAGATCAACTACCAGTAGATTAAAAACGAATCAACATGCATATGCATAAAGCTATTGTCTTGTCGTTGTATCAACTTTGAACAGTCCAGGTATGTTCAAGAAATGACAAACATACACACGAATGGAAAGACAGATCCCAAACTGTGTTTAAAGTCACTTATGTCTGATGTAAACTAAAAGTGATATTAATATGACTTGATTTACCTATAGCTCTGGACACTGATAGAGTACCATTGACTCTCCATGCTCCAAACCAAACAACACATCCACCTAAGTCTTCTATTCTTTTTCTCTCATCCTGTGAAGGTAATGATGAAATGAAAAATGATGATTATATTTCTCACATATCAAGTTAATATTTATTATTATACATCTGTCACCGTAATGCCAGCGTAAGTTATAGCATGCCATAATTTTGCAGTATTGCACTGGGTATTTTCATCCTACTATATTAGGAAACGCAAATTCCAAATAATGAACGATTACACGCGTAAGCATCCTCTAATAATGAAAAATAAACATAGCTGCCCCCAGGATTTGACCGGACCACACACGAAGAAGTTCGCTAAATATGTTCTAAATGTTTTGGATTTAGGCATTCCCATGATGTATTCCTGGGAGGAAAAGATGTATAATAATAAGGTTATTAACAACCAATCATCATCAAAACCTATTTAGCCTATTTTCTGTATTCCACAATGCATTCGTCATCAGAGTGAGGTCAATTTAGGTTTACGTTTAATGCAACCTAACGTTCAGCACCATCAAAGAGATTTGTCAATCAAACCTCATTGATGGTGCTAAACCTTGTACTTGTACTTCAAAGCCGACACATAAGCGATGCTACCAGATATATACACCAGTTAACAAGCCACACCAACCCAGCGACTGCTCAGATTGTAAAGGATTTGTACACACTCCCACCATGTCATTCATTTTAATGTGCAATTACAATTCTGGTTCCCCAATAACTCTGGATTTATGGCAATAACTTGTCATGGGTAAACGATTCGCAGCAATATTCATCAAATAACTAACTTGCCATGAATGCTTTCACTATTTGATTAACATTCATAAAACAAATCCACATATTTTTTTTTTCAATTTTGATAAGACAGTTTAAAATTATGTTTATTTTGTCTAAAATTAACAAACAAATTATGCAAAAATATCTCAAATTCAGCAAAATGTTGGGGTGAATTAAAATTCAGATAAATTAGGTTTACCTCTCTCTCTGGTTTATGTGGTTGCATTATCTCCACTGGTTGTCCATTCCTCATCAATAACGCTTGTGAATCTCCCAACCATGCCAGATGTAACACATCATTCATTATCACAACATTGACTGCTGTTGATCCACTTCGTAATCGCTGAAAGCAACAATAAAACCTGACATTCAATGCAAGACTTTGTCGTTAGTATTATTATAAATGCAACGTACATAATCAATATGAAGATTAG